TCTATAATGGAATTCTTTAGTGTGTACTGCTTGGTTTTTCTCTTAAGTTTTCCTCTCAAACCTGGCACTCCTAACGCGTATGACTACATATAATTACCTACCTGTGACCTCTCACAGCATAAATGACCATATAAAATCAAAGGGTAATCATATGCAATCAAGAACAATCATCATTGCTATAACTGATAAGTGATCCTGATTCCTGACAGTCATATATGTATATGCAATCATTTACCTAATAATTACGTATTAATAATATGGAGAATTGAATCATTAATTAATATATGCCTGCATGCCAGTATGGTACTTATGTGATAAAAAAAAGTACACTCCTAATTAAACAAAAAGCAGAAAAAGAGAAACATTTATCTATCAATCATTGTCTTCCCTAAGTGTACTCACCTACACTTCAAACATAGGCTAGCTACAATACTTTGCGCAACATCATCAAATCGATAAATTAATTAAGCTGGAGTGAACAATACTCAAAACTTACTGTGTACTCAATATAATTACCACCCCATGCTTATGTAGTAACAGAAGGGACAGATGCGTGCCGCATCGATCCTACCAACAAATTAGCTACATCTACCAAACAATCAAGAGTATGGTGCTTAGGCCGCGTTTAGTTCGGCCCCGGATTCGGCGCCGCCGGAATCCGAGGTACTGTAGCGGCACTGTTGCGCACTGTAGCGTTTTGTTTTTATTTGGTAATAATTGTCCCATCGTTGACTAATTAGACTCAAAACGTTCGTCTCGTAAAGTACAACAAAACTGTGCAATTAGTTTTTGATTTCGTCAACATTTAGTACTTCATGCATGTACCGTAAGTTTAATGTGACGGGGAATCTTCTTTTTGCATAGTGACAAAATCTGTAAAATGAGGGAACTAAACATGGCCTTAGCTTTGTCCTCAAGATAGCATCCATGACAAGGCTCTATAGTAAAACCCTAGCTGCCTGACTACGAGGTGCATGGGCAGGTATAATCCATTGTTGGCAGCTCAGATGCCTAGGAGCAAGCGCGAATCTATCAAGGCACGACAACGATGCTTCTGCAACAAGCATGGTTCTAGTTGCCCTGTTTCCTAGCTGTAGAGATTGATCGGAGCCATGGATGTATCATAGAGGCTCCCTCCTGCTGGTTCGTTGACAGGGAAGGAATCATGCAGGTTGTCATGAAGCGTGAGAGTTGGCGCTGAAAGAGCCTGCAGATGCATGCAGTGCAATAGTGCGACAATACTAGGGTCTAACCTATAGCGCGCTGCTTAGCTGCCCCTTTGTTTAATGTGAATGGATATTTATACACGAACTGGAACGAAGCAATATTGTGAGCTTTGATCATCTCGACGTCGCATATCGTACCAAAACAAATTTGTATCAATACAGTGCTACATTCAACCGTAATATATGAAATTGAGTGTTTCTATGTCATGAATCCGCAAATTAGAGTTCTGTGGTTGATTTCGTTTTCGACTTTCTTACTTGTCTAACTGTCATGTGACAAAAAATGGTTGTCTATGTTATCAATCAAAAGAACTAATGGCTGATTTCATACCGCAATAATGAAAGTCAGAAAGTCATATCATTGAGATGTTGGTTTCTGAGAAAGATTAAGGGCGTGTTTGGGACGGCAGTCCTTGACCACTCACTGTGGTATGGGTACCGCGACCGCCAACCTATGGCACGGAAACATAGAGGAGCTAGTTGAGACTCGTCCTGTTCGCTTGGAGAAATTTGAAGGAATCTGAATGAATCTGTAGGAATTTGTGAGAGAAAAACATTGTTCCGGATAAAAAGAAAGCGGATCAAGCTGGGTTTAAGGGCAAGCAAATGGGGCCACTGTTGGCCCACAGGATCACCGGCTCAGGTGAGTAAACCACTCACCAGTCTTGCCGAGCACCCGCTAGTGTTGCCAAGCACCCACTAGCCGTGCCGACCACGAACAAACATTGTTCGTCCCCACGCACTATGGCTAGAGCTTGAAAAAGAAGAGAGAACAGAGCATACACACACAGTATAAGACACCAGCGTTGGCCGAAGCCCTGTATAGAAGATGGCAAATCTGAACTCTCTTTACTGAGTTGCCGTGGTAGTCTATTTATACAACTCTATCCATCTAGTCCCAGTATAGCTGCCCTGCTACAACAGTGACTTGATAACATACATGGCTGACTCTGCGTCGGCCTCTGCATGTGGCTACAGTGCTACAGGTGAGCCGTGCGGCGCCTGCACCTGCACCTGCTACAGTATCACAGCAGGAGGCCTTTTTTGCGCCGCCTTTCCTTGCTGTGTTCACACAAAGAAAGCAGTAGTTTATTCTAACAATTCTTTCCCTAAACCTACTGCTATCCCTTGTACCCCCTTCATGCCGATCATCTTCTTCAGCTCCGTGAGTCGAAGACGTCCGAGCGGCTTGGTGAGGACGTCTGCGAGTTGCCGACCAGTTTTGACGAACTCGATAACGATCTGCCCTCCACCGACACAGTCCCTGAGGAAGTGAAACTTCACGTCAATGTGTTTACTCTGATCGTGCAGAACCGGATTCTTCGCGAGGACGATGGCAGGCTGGTTGTCCACCATCAGTGCTAGTGGGTGAGCTTCCACGCCGGTCAGCTCACCCAGCAGCCGGCGCAGCCACACAACACTACAAGAAATGTGTGGTTTTTTGACAATCTATTTATGTCATAATATATGAAATTAATGTCACAATTTAAGATTTGTGACATCCAGTTGACAAAAATCCGAACGTCAAAAAACCACCGTCACAAATTCATTATGTGACGTCTGTATATTTCATGTCACAAATCTGACATTGGATTTTAGTGTCATAGAGGTTTATGACATTGGTTTATTGTCACAAAATCCTAGGCCTTGCCACATGGGCAAATGCCACGTAGGATCAAAAACTGACGTTTAGCGAAAAAAACATCACAAAAGAATGGCCCATACAGGTCCATATTCTAATACCAGATCAACAAATTCATAGGCCATGCATAAACATTTCATTTATTATCACCGAATTCATGTTTCAGTACCAATATCAAAGTCAAAGTTATAAAGATAAAAATAAATAGATCAAAGTTTCACAACATTTTGTGAGTCACTATTCAAAAGATGACCAAAATCACATTTAGCAATGTGAAGAAGAGTCAAATCCGAGCCACTTGAGAAGAACACCTACATGTGAACAAGAGTTGATTAGCAATGTGAAAACTGATTCATCGTTACAAAATTCACCATGCTCCTATGTTCCAGATATATATATATATTCTTAGCCAAACACTTGCACTCAGCCAAACAGTTACCTTAATTTCACATTCATATATTTGCATATGTTTCAAAATTCACCATGCTGATTCAACATTACAAAAGCTTGTGACCTACTCCTATGTTCCAGATTCATATATTCTCAGCCAAACAGCAAACCAGCACTCAGCAAAACAGTGGTGAGAAAAAAAGAAGAGATGGCAGCACTTACATGAGCACTGAAGAAATGATGATCACTGAAATCCAACCTATCAACTTTGAGTGGACCAATCTCCATTAAGCCTCAAATCATCTGCTCTAATCATCTTACGAAGGCACATCTCCAATGTTCCTGCTAGCAAATATAATGCATATCAACTAACAAAAAATAGCTTGCAAAGCATACTTATCAATTATTGCACTGACTACAGGCACACAAATCTCACAGTATCATATTCTACTCTCTGCTACAGTGATTCCATCTTTGTTCTGGAATGAAAGAAAGGACAACTCTGACTCAGTTAAATTGTTAAAGAAAAACTGTGCAGAGCTCTCTCTTTCTCTCACAGGTTGCACAATGACATTCAGACAAGTAAAATGACAGGTTGCATCCATTTTCAGACAATGCACAGTGACATTCAATTTTCAGAAGAAAAAACATGCAGTACTCTCTCAGGTTGCATCCATTTCTGTACTTAACAGGAAGAGGTGATGAGGCTAATTTTAACAAATATAACACAGGCATAATTTTTCAATATAAATTAGACGATTAATGTTAATTTGCAGTGCCCATCATATATCAATTATGGAACCCACACAATATCAGGATTGTAAACATAGGCCAAGATGCCTGAATCAGTCATCTAGTAAAAAGTTAGCATGGGCTAGCCTAATTTCATTGAGCAAACTTTCCCATTCACAAATCATTTCCTCAGTGGCCTAGTGACACGTAGATAACTTTTAATTAACTGAGAACAGCGCAAAAAGAACTTACTGGTTCTAAAATGTCCAAGATATGCACATTATATGATGACGACACCATCTGTTGCAGGATATGCACATTTGAGATAAGTCAGTTCAAGAAAAGCCAAAAATAAAGGAATAAGGAGCTAGCGTAATCAACAGCCAAATACTACCATCAACTAATATTCTCATCACTGCAATTTCTAAGATGATTCAAACATTTCAAATAGATGTACAAGATTGATATAACGCAAGGGAGGACTTGCTGGTTCCCAGTTCAAGAGGCAGAGGAGTGAACATCTAAGAAGACGGAGGACCTCTCGCACTCGTAGATGACCATAATTTATTACCTCTTGCACTCGCAGATGATGAACATCTAAGAAGACGGAGTCGCGCTGTCTTTCTAGTTGAATTACGAATCCGAAGGGGATGAGAGAAGTACCTGCAACTCTCGGCGAGCAGCACTGAGATCCGACGAGGGGAACGCCGCACGGCCTGGGGTGGGGCAGCGAGCGCGGCTCCGCGTGGCGTCACGAGCGCCGCCGCCGCGTGGCCGGGGCTGGGGCGGCGAGCGTGACACCGGGCAGCCAGGCGAGGTCCGGCTCCGCACGGCCTGGGGCAGCGCGTCGAGCGCGGATCCGAGCAGCCTGGCGATGGACGGTGAGCAGCCTGGGGTGGGGTGGTGCGAGGCCTCACGACCGACAAGCGGCGCGCCGGCCGGCCCTAACCCTAGCTCTCGATCTATTCTTTCGTGGCGGCCGGAGGAAAGGGAGGAGACGGAAAGCAGCGATGGAGTTCTGGAGGAGTGGTTTGCTGGGTCGTGTACTCGTGTGTGGACTCGTGGGATGGGCCGTGCGTGGTGAGTCGTGGGGGTGTGTTTTTTTCCTTTTCCTTTTCTTTTTTTTGTTTTCTTTTGGAAATTCTTCTCTTTCTCTCTCCTTTTTTAAAGAAAAACTCAAAAACAAAATACAAAAATACACGAGCCCACACACACATTATATATACATATATAGCTAGATTGTCAAGATTAAATGTGCATACATTTAAACCAGGGCTCATTGTAAACTAGGCCCACATATGTATACACACATATAAGTTATATAAATTTTTTCACATGTATACATTTTAATTATTTTTGAAAGTTGTTTTTGTGAACCTGGTTAAAGTTCGATCTTCAAAATAAAAACATTTATAAAGTAGGGTTCATTGTCTCATGCAATAGATGCCCTCGACAAAAGCAGATAAATTATGAATGTATTGTCGATTTTTAAATACCACAATCAACACGAGCATAACACCCGATGTGTTACAATAGGTTCACACCCATGGCCACATGGTTGTGGAACATGCCAATATGGACATCAATGTTAAAAAAATTAATAAATTATTTTGTGACACACAAAGTCTGTCATAGATTGATGGCATTTGTAAATTAGACTTTATGACATAAAATGTCTCTGTGACATAGCAAATATCGTCATTGAATAAAATTGGACTAGATGTATGACGTTTTTTTATGACATGCAACTTTTTATTGTCACTAAGTCGAAGTGCCTAAAACATAATGTCATAAACCGGGTGATATAATGACATTATGACCTATTGTCATGCTGAATACGTCAAAAAATCACACATTTCTTGTAGTGCAACTTGGCACACCGCTGTGGCCACCGCTACATACTCTGCCTCACAGGTAGACAACGCCACCACCTTCTGTTTTCAGCGACAGCCATGAAATTAGAGCCGACTCGAGAAAGACGAGCACGCCAGAGGTGCTCCGTCGTCCGTCGATGTCTCCCGCCATGTCTGCATCGCTGAACACAGTGAGTTGCAGCCTACTCCCGCCGATCTTTGGGAAGATGATCCCATCATCTACCGTCCCCTTGACGTAGCATAGTAGCCGCTTCACCGCAGCCCAGTGATCCTCTTTGGGATCCTCCATGAAGCGACTGACGTAGCCCACGATGAACGCAATGTTCGGCCTTGTGTGGACTAGGTAGCGTAGACCCCCGATGATGCTCCGGTAGAGTGTTGCATCCACCTTCGCCGCGGTGCTGGCCTTCATCAGCTTCAGCCGCTCCTCCATCAGAGTTACGCATGGCTTGCACTCAGCCATGCCGCTCTGCTCCAACAGCTTGGAGGCATACGCGTTCTGACCGAGCGTGAGTTCCTCCTTCCCCTGTCTCACCTCGATGCCGACGTAGTAGGAGAGTGCGCCGAGATCGCCCATTCAAAAACGAGCCGCCATCTCGCGCTTGAAGCCGTTGATGTCCTCCGTGCGCACGCCGGTGATGATCAAGTCGTCCACATAGACGCCGACGACGAGCTCCTCCTTCCTCTGTCGCCGCGTACAGAGCGCGTGCTCGGTTGCACACCGTTGAAACCCAAGCTCACCCAGCGTGGCGTCAAGCTTGGCGTTCCATGCTCGTGGGGCCTATCGCAGCTCGTAGAGCGCCTTGCGCAATCAGAGCACCCTATGCTCCTCTCCCTTGACGATGAAACCTGGAGGTTGCTTGACGAAGACCGTCTCCGCCAGCTCGCCATTGAGGAAGGCCGATTTAATGTCCAAGTGATGGGCGCGCCAGTCCTTTGCTACTGCCAAGGCTAGTAGAAAATAGACAGACTCCATGCGCGCTACTGGCGCAAAGACCTCCTCGATGTCTGCCCTCGTGCTGAACAAAGCATCGGGCGACGAGGCGCGCCTTATGCTTGACAATGGCACCGAGCTCGTCCCGCTTGACCTTGTACACTCACTTCAGGCTGATCGGACGGCATCCTGGAGGTGGATCGACGAGCTGCCAAGTCTCGTTTTCCTCAATCGCCTTCATCTCCTCCGGCATTGCCCATCGCCAGTTTCCATCGCGCTCGACCAGCGCAAACATGGGTGGTTCCTCTACACTGATAAGCAGCAGCTCTACGTCATTGAGTAGCCTACCCGTCAGTCCTGAGGGCCCTGTGCCGCCGACGATGTCGTCCAGCCTGCGGAACGCACCTCCTTACCTTCGTGGAAGGCATCCACGAACTTAGTGATGTTACTTGGAGGTGAGGCGAACTCGATCGGCGTCGATGGAGTTCCCTATTCCACCAGAGTGCTCGGCACAGCACCTGGAGTGCTCGACACCCTGGTTGCAGTGCTCGGCACTACTTCTAGACAGCTCGTTATTACTCCTACAGTGTTCGGCACCACTGTAGGAGTGCTCAGCCTCAGTCTTGGAGTGGTCGGTACCACTGCAAGACATCTTGGCTCTGCCACGGGAGTGCTCGGCATCCGTCCTAGAGTGGTCGCCACCACTGCAGAACCTCCTTGATGAAGATAACGTTGAGATTCAGTTAATAAGGGGCCTTGTTTTGTACTATTTAGGTAATTTGTTTCGTGCTTGCGAGTTGCAAAGTGACTCAAATACACTGATATGATCTTCATGAAGATGGATGGGTGGTGTGTAGAGTTTTCAAAAAGAAGAGCTATCACCAGAGAGGCCTCAATCCGGCTGAAATGGCCTCACCGGACGACGATGAGCTCCAGCCTTTCCCTGTTCCTATCCCCGGTAGCTCCCTGCCAACAGAGCACAAGAACAACCCTCACCTCATGCAATATGACTTCCCTTCCTTCGACCCTTCCATGCAGCTCCCACAGCTGATGAGCGCCGACCAGCCCGTGCCAACACTCCTCCCCAGCCATCCCGGTGTCGCTAAGGCCATGAGCTCACTCGACGTCGAGTGCAACCTGACGAAGCTCACGTCCAACAACGACAGCGACGGGATGCTCCACGTCCACGGTGCTGGTGCTGGAGGTGGTGTCGACCGCTTCGCAGACACGACAGACTGGTCGATCCTAGACAAGCTCCTCGCCTCGCACCAGAACCTCGACCAGCTCTTCCACGGCAAGGTCACCGCGGCATCTGCTGCCTCCCCAATGGCGGCATACCATCAGCAGCTCATGGAACTCGGTGGCTCGTCGTCGTTGCCGTCTTTATAGAGGCTTCCACTGCAGTACCTCAGTGGCGAGACGACCCATCTCCTCAGGTTCCCCAAGTAGTTGGATTGACCTCAAGTTTAGCTACCTTGTTAAGCAGTGACCAGAGCAGGCTTTTGGTTGACTACTAGACTGCTTAATTCAGTCTACTTCGTATGGAGTTTAATTAGTGCTTCTAAATGTATATATATGGTATGCTACTATTTGCATTGGGATCATGCATGCATGGAATGCCATCTACTGTGGTTGCACTACCGAAGACGACTTCTTTGCCGAGTGTCCCAGACTTTGCCGAGTGCTTTTTATCGGACACTCGGCAAAGAGGCTGTTTGCCGAGTGCCAGAGAGATAGCACTTGACAAATAACTAGCACTCGGCAAAGAGGTGGTTTGTCGAGTGCCGAGCACTCGGCAAAACTGGTCTTTGCCGAGTGTTATTCTCCTGACACTCGGCAAAGGCCGCCGCCGTTAACGGCCGGCAGCCGCCGTTAACCCTTTGTCGAGTGTCTTCTCCTAACACTCGACTCGATTTGCGATGATCATTTTTTAGACACTGTCATTTTTGACACTTTCGGCAAACTATATTTTTCACTTTTGACCTCAAACTTTTTCTGCGGTCCTCATACAATACACAGTACTCCATGTTCCAATGTGGCACATTTCTCGGACTTTTCTATATTTCTTTAATTTATTTCATTTAATTGAATTTTCTTGGATAATTTAAATTATAAGCGCTAGTCATTGAATAATGAAAAAATGAATGGAAAATCTCCGAAGATATTCATATTATTTAAGTATAATGTGAGGCCGTGCATCCGGACCACCATTTTCGAACATCTTGTTCACGAAACATAGTATAATGTGAAGAGTATCGAGACAAGACCACCATTTTGAACATCTTGTTCACGAAACATGACAACGAACTTGCGCTGAAACCTTTTTTTAAATTATATCACAGCCAGCACATATCATATCATGACATCTTGACAAGATTCATGATTTTCATATTCGCTTGCTTTTTATAGAATTTAAAATTTGAGAAGGTTTAGCGCAAGTTCGTGGTCATGTTTCGTGAACAAGATGTTCAAATTGGTGGTCTAGTCCTCGATATGGCCTCACATTATACTAAATAACATGAATATCATTTTTCCATTCATTTTTTTCATTATTCAATGACTAGCAGCTATAATTTGAATTATCCAAGAAAATTCAATTAAATGAAATAAATTAAAGAAATATAAAAAAGTCCAAGAAATGTGCCACATTGGAACATGGAGTACCAGGTATTGTATGAGGACCGTAGAAAAAGTTTGGAGGTCAAAAGTGAAAAAATATGGTTTGCCGAGTGTCAAAAAATGACACTCAGCAAATCACCAATTTGCCGAGTGTCAGGACGTGTGACACTCGGCAAAGATTTTTTAAAAAAATTTAAAAACCCCTCTTTGCCGAGTGCCAGTCCGGGGGCACTCAGCAAAGTTTTTTTTAAAAAACCCTCTTTGCCGAGTGCCAGGCCAGGTAGTACTCGGCAAAGAATTAAAAAAATTTTAAAAAAACTTTACCGAGTGCGAGATCGGGGGCACTCGACAAAGGGGGGATTTAACCTCCCAGCCCAGCCGGCCCACACACACCGCACACACGCACGCCCGCGCCACGCAGCACTCCAAGACACTGCAAGACACATGCACGCCACACAAGGCCATGCACATTGCCAACAAGGAGGAGGAGAAAGAGAGGAGGAGGAGGAGGAGAGGAGGAAGGAGGAAGAGGAGGAGGAGGAAGGAGGAAGGAGGAAGAAGAAGAAGGAGGAGGCGCCCCAGCCGCCGTTGCCACGTCCCCGGCGCTTCCCCAGCCGTCGCCTTATCCACCGGCGCCCTGGCCCTTTCACCACCGCCGCCCTACGATGCCCACTAGGTATTCCCTACCGTCATTGTCGTCGTAGTATTACTAGTAGTTGCGGTAGTAGTAGTGGTAGCGTAGGAGTGGTGGTAGTCATAGGAGTCGTAGGAGTGGTTGTGACATTGTTATATATATGTGGTTGGATATAATCTTGTGCATGTCGGCCATCATGCCGTTGGTTTTCTTGCAGGTTTTGAAAACCTCATCGTGCAAGGGAGGTGCTACCGAAATTTTGTATAGATAGTTTTATGTTTCTTTTTTTGCAGAGAAGAGCCCATCGGAGCGGAGCCGGAGTACCTCGGCGACCCCGATCGCCTTCTTCGCCGCTGCGGGTCTGCCTGCACCGCGTTGCCTCACCACTGCACCAACCCACCATGGCCCCGCTAGCCTGACTTCACCGCCACCCTAGGTATAACCCCTCTTTCTGTATCATGGTCGTAGATCACGTAACCCAGTTAGGCGTCTCCCGTTCGAAAGAGATACGGTTGGAAATATGCAGATATTTCCATATCTAAAATCATATCTGTTTTGAATTGTCCACGTTTTTTGGACAGCTCGCGGATACATAGGTGGGGTTAGTTTCCATGGTCTGCTCTGATCCGAGATAGAGTTTCGGCATCATCTCCCTGTTGTTCTCTGGATACACACTCTCCCTAGCAGGATGTGTATTTGGAGAACAGCGGGGAGGTGCTGCCGAAATTCTATCTCGGATAGGAGTAGAGCATGGAAACTAACCCCACTTGCGCATCCTCGCATAGGATTAGGACATATCCTTACCTATTAGATAGTAGGAACGTCGTGTAGATGCAATTGATGGTTATATTACCCGCCGCTATATATGTTAGAGGATGGAGGACCGTGAGTGGATGTACACGGGTCACGCAAGGGTCAGGTCACTAATGAATGGATCGACAAGACCGATGCTTTCTTGGAACAGGCATTTGGCATGGCTGCTAAAGGAGTGAGTAAAATTTGTTGTCCCTACAGCAAATGTGCAAACAGGAAAAGGCAAATGAAGAAGGTCATGGGGGAACATCTTTGGAAGAATGGATTTACGGCAGACTATACCCAGTGGGTCTACCATGGTGAAGCCAATCGTATGAGAGAGGAGGTGGTGAGACCACGCGTCGAGGATTATGATGCTGATGTCGGGTAGCAGACATGTTAAATGACTATCACGAGGCACAGTTTGCTAAAGGACGTATGGAGGAGGAGCCAGAGTCAACCGCAAAGGCGTTCTACGACATGTTTGCCGCGGCACAGAAACCCCTTCATGGTTAGACAAAGGTTTCTCAACTGGATGCCATTGGACGCATAATGGTGTTAAAGTCCCAGCATAGTCTGAGTCGAGACGCCTTCGATGGTATGTTGACAGTTATTGACAGCTTGCTTCCAGAGGATCACCTTCTGCCAAAGAGCATGCACGAGTCACAGAAACTCCTTCATGCACTTAAAATGTCGGATGAGCAGATGCATGCTTGCCTAAAGGGGTGCGTCCTATTTAGGAAAGAATACGTGGAAGCAAAGTACTATCCAAAGTGTAAATCCTCTAGGTTCCTGGAGGTAGATTCTGGTGATGACTAGAAGAGGCAGCTTGACATTCCTGTGACAATCCTATGGCACCTTCCGTTCATACCGAGGATCCAACGGCTATACATGACCGAGGAATCCGTGAAACAGATGACATGGCACAAAAATGGCAAACGATACAATCCTGACAGGATGGTACATGCATCCGATGGTAAAGCATGGACCCACTTTGATGGCATTCATCATGAGAAAGCTAAAGAGGCTCGTAATGTACATGTTGCACTGGTAATAGATGGGTTCAATCCTTATGGAATGATGGCTGCCCCATACACATGTTGGCCCGTGTTTATTATCCCCCTCAATCTCCCCCCCGGCGTATGCTTTCAATGACATAATGTATTCTTGTCGTTGATAATTCCTGGACACCCGGGGAATAATATGGGTGTGTTCATGGAGCCTGTGATTGATGAATTGGTCCATGCTTGGGAGGAAGGGGTATGGACATACGATCGAGCTACAAAGAAAAACTTCAAAATGCATGTTGGTACCACTACTCCCTACATGACTTCCTGGTGTATGGGATATTCTGCGCCTGGTGTGTTCACGGGAAGTTCCCATGCCCAGTATGCAAGGAAGGTCTGAGGTTCATTTGGTTGCAGAAGGGTGGCAAGTATTCATCATTCGAGAAACATCGACAATTCCTCCCTCTTGACCATGCATTCAGACAAGACATCAAGAACTTTACGAAAGGTGTCATAGTGACAGACCCTGCACCACCGATAATGACTGGTGCCGCGGTTCGTGAACAGATAGATGGTCTCGTGGTCAATCCAGAAGGTGGTTTTGTGGGATATGGAGAGCAACATATGTGGACTCCTAAGTTGGGCTTGACTCGGCTCCCCTATTTTGATGACCTTCTTCTTCTACACAACATTGATGTAATGCACACTGAAAAGAATATCGCCGAGGCACTTTGGGCAACAATCATGGACATTCCTGACAAGTCAAAGGACAACGTTAAGGCTAGAGTGGATCTGGCAACGTTATGTGATAGACCAAACCAACATATGAAGCCTCCTAGTCGCGGCAAGACATGGAGAAGGCTTAAGGCCGATTTTGTCTTGAGCAAGCCCCAAAGGAGGGAAGTACTAGAATGGATCCAGATGTTAATGTTCCCTGATGGGTATGCATCTAATCTAAGGAGGGGAGTGAACTTATCTACTATACGAGTCTTAGGGATGAAGAGTCATGACTACCACATATGGATTGAGCGGCTTCTTCCGGTGATGGTTCGAGGCTATGTCCCTGAGCATGTCTGGCTAGTGCTGGCAGAGTTGAGCTATTTCTTTCGACAGCTTTGTGCTAAGGAGTTATCTCGAACCGCAATTGCTGACTTGGAAAGAATGGCACCTGTGTTGCTCTGTAAGTTGGAGAAGATCTTTCCACCCAGCTTCTTCAATCCGATGCAGCATTTGATTTTGCACCTCCCGTATGAGGCACGAATGGGGGGGCCCGTGCAGGGCCGTTGGTGCTATCCAATCGAGAGATGTCTAAAGGTTCTTCGAAAGAAATGTAGAAATAAATGCAAAATCGAGGCTTCCATTGCAAAGACATACATTCTGGAGGAGGTGGCGAACTTCACAACAACATACTATGGTGACAACCTCCCTAGCGTGCATAATCCACCCCCTCATTACAATGCTGGCGAAAATGAATCGAATCTCAGCCTTTTCCGAGGGCAACTCAGAAGCGCAAGTGCATCGACCTCCAAGACCTTGAATCATGAAGAGTGGCGCCATATCATGCTATACGTGTTGACCAACCTTGATGAAGTGGCGCCGTACATGCAGTAAGTTCTCAACCACTTATTAAATACGTCGTCACTATTCTGCATCCAACCCCCTTGTTTCTCGTTGGTACAGGGAATTTCTTCATGAATTCTAACGTCAATCAAGGGATCCTACCCCGCAGTAGGTAGATACCCTTCTTAGACAGGGTGCGGGAAATGGAATGCCCGATTTCATTTCTTGGTTCAAACGGAAGGTACCGTCCAATTTAGCTCGTACTTAGTTTGACATTCCAAGTTACTCGTACGTGCGAATAATATAACGATGTATCCTGCTTGAGCTTGCAGGGCCAGAGGGATGCGTCTATGCGTGCCGAGATGAGACAGGTTGCCGATGGCTTTGCCTATAGGGTCAGGTCATTTTCCGGTAATGACGTGAATGGATATCGCTTTCGCACAACAAGCTACGAGCAGAGTCGGCCCAATCGAAGAACCACAAGTTCTGGAATTTTTACGCCCAGCGTTGATGAGGTCGAATATTATGGAAGAATTGAAGAAATATACGAACTCAAGTTTCATGGTTCTAAACCTTTTAATCCTGTCATATTCAAATGCCATTGGTTTGATCCTGAAGTAATGAGACGGACATATTCTAATCTTGGGCTAGTCAAAATTCGACAGGATTCCGTCTTACCAGGAGACGATGTCTATATTGTGGCCCAACAGGCCAAGCAAGTTTATTATCTCCTATATACGTGTCAAACCAAAAGTCATCTTAAGGGTTGGGATATTGTGCATAGGGTATCGCCACACGGTAAAGTACCTATCCCAAACGATGAAGATTATAACTTAGACCCAAACATATATGATTGAGAGTTCTTTCAAGAAGAGGGACTAGAAGAGAGGTTTGAGATAGACTTAACCGAAGCGATCGGAATGGAAGTCGACAATGAAATAGTTATTGAAGAGGACGCTGGAGATGAGGTGCAAAATGTGAAGGACTTACAAATGCTTGAGCGATTACATTTAGACAATGACAATGGCAACATTGCTCATTCGGATAGTGTTGATTATTTCGACATGATTGATAGTGATGATGAGACTTATGATCTAGCTAATCCCGATCATGAAGATTATTTTTAATACATGTAATACTATGTTATTTTGTAATTACGTTTTGTTTATTTTGCATCTCTTTCTAAGTACTTCTTGTTTATCTATGCATATTAGTTTACTCTTTTTAATTACAGGTGATTGAACAAAGATGGTGGGCGGTGGGATGATGAAGCTAGGTGATGATACTTGTGGTTGTTAATGGTACTTCTATTTGCAATTGTGGTTGTAGATGATGGAGCACTTGGATTACTTGTGAACTTATTTGTGATATATTGTGAGACATGTGACGTTTGTGATATATATGTGGTGTTGGATATATATGCTGTTGATGATATATATGTGATGTTGGTGATGTTTGTTATATATATCTTTTATTTGTTTGGATGGAATGTAAAAAACAAATAAAAAATGCTGTTTTCAGTCACTTTGCCGAGTGCAATGGCCATGACACTTGACAAAGTGACGACCTGAGAACATGCCTGGGAACATGCTTTGCCGAGTGCAAAGGCCATTATACTCGGCAAACATCACAGATTTGCGGAGTGCCACGGTCCAGGCACTCGGCAAAGGGCGCCTGTTTGCCGAGTGTCTTGCCGGTGACACTCGGCACAGTGGCCACCTTTGCCGAGTGTTTGAGTCAACGGCACTCGGCAAAGAGACGACCTTTGCCGAGTGCTTGACCTTAACACTCGGCAAAGCCGCCGTCACGGTGGCGCTCGCCGTCACGGCGACTTTTCTTTGCCGAGTGTCAGATTAGCACTCAGCAAAGGCTTTCCCGAGTGCCCGATAAAGTGTATTCGGCAAAGAGGTCTTTGCTAATAAACTGTTTACCGAGCGCCCTTTGCCGAGTGTAACACCCGACAAAGGCTTTGCCGAGTGTATATCGGCCTTTGCCGAGTGCCTGAGGCACTCGCCAAAGAAGCTGAATCCGGTAGTGTTGCTTGGTTGGTCAAGAGGATCTTTTTTATGTTTCCATTTTGGCTTAGGGTTGCACGTTAGGTGCTTTTGGAGAAAAAATGTGAAGAGATGGCCCGGTCAATCAAGAACTTCTATTTGTTTTCGTGAAAATATTACTTCTGTTTCAAACTCTAATTCCCATATATTGATTGGTCTTTTTTTTTTGTTGATGAACTAATAATATAGGATCGCAGCGTATATATCTGTTCATGCCTTCATGATCACCAATTAAAGCACTACACATGGTCATTTTTTTTTCTAATTTTCTTCTCATGTGTGATTTGATGTCTATATATCTTCCATCATTCATTTGGGTCTACCATCAAACGGTTTAATTAGAATTACCTTACAAATTGAGAAACAATAACATAGGAGCTTCTGGTGCTTATTTTGCCATATTAGTTCTACCTTATGTCAGTCTTGAATAGTCTAGGATGAGCTATTGAGCAACAAGAAACCAAGGCCAGCAACTATTGAGTTTTGATCTCATGGTGCTTTGAGGTAGGCAGCTTGTAAAAAGAGCGCAACCCGTTCCACTCAATTATTTAATAGGTATTCCAAGAAAGCTCAAATTCAATTTATATTCATGTAAACATTGCATAAACCCAAATTCAACACTTTGATATATATATTCTTCCAACCTGAAATATATGGAATTTTCAGTTGTCCTAAGTCAACCCGTACTATATTTGACTACGTTTATACAAAAGAGAATTAACATCTACCATATCAAAGAGATAATTAATTAAAATAGTTTCAGGATGTATCTAATAAGTTCATTTAATATTGTCAATACTATTCCTCTTTTCTCTAAATTTGGTAAAATTTTGATAACTGACGACAACTAAAATGTCTTATACTCCCTCATTCCAATTTATAAGGCATTTTTGGTTTTTTAGATATATTACTTTTATTATATATCTAAATATAATGTATATCTAAGTGCTTAGTAAAAATTACGTATCTAGAAAAAAATCAAAGCATCTTATAATTTAGAATGGTGGGAGCATAGTAAAAGACCACACGTCGACACATAGTGATCAACCACTCCACCTGTAGGCTGTGTATATGGAAGAACACAAGATTTCCTCTTGAGTATTAATTCAAGAACATGAAATTTCCTTTATACGACTGAAATAAACAGTTCCATCTTCCTCCTTGGGAGGCTTTCATCCAGGCCCTTTGTTTACCGGCACCAATGAACTATTTATTCCACGGAAAGAAGGCAACGCCGGAAGCGTTACGGTTCTTCCTGCATGGCATCACATCGCAATCCCGAGCTTGCAGCAGCAGTGCAAAGCCATGGCTAGTTAACTTGCTTCAGGCACGCGAATCAAAGTTCGTGCGTGCGCGGAGAAGATAAAACTAGTCCTATATGCCAACCTGTGTGTACCACCAGCCACCAGCCAGATTTTGTTTACAGTTTCTTGGACAGGAAATGCGTGAAATAAGCAGGACTAGGCGACTAGCTGTTCCTTGCTGCAATGTTCGATGTAAACATCAGTGTCACAAAACAAGGGGCACAAAGGTCATCATCTCATGACAGATCATTCAGTCCTATTGAAAAACAAAAAAGAACTCCCATATTCGGTTACAGAATAATGTGAAACGAGCACAGGCGTCTCTGATTGAATGGTGGGAATAATCAATCGCTTGTGTTATTTTTGTGTAAAAGTGTAAACGTGTAACTAATTAAGAACGTACTATATTAAAAAAATTGTGTTACAGTGTCGCGTATACCGCTAAGCTTACAGCAAAACCTAACAAGGCGCCGACTGTGACCTGAAGCTCTGTGTGGCCAACAGATTCACTCAACCGGTAATCCTCCTCTATGTAAGCCTGCTTCAGCTCTGTCAACTCGGTTACCTCAGGTTCTGAACTATGGAGCCTCTTCACCCTTGGTGATTCGGTACTAGAACTGCACTTCGAGGGGCTTGCATTTGAAATTGCCTCCTCGGTAACCGAAACAAACTCAGAAGCCATGTCCACTTCAGAATACTCCAGAGGTACCTTCTCTTTGAGGATCCAAAACTTGTTCAAAACCTTTGCGTGGTTGCCCACTTCTCTTCTAACTCCCTATTGGAAAAACAAATGAATATTATGAGCATTGATCCTTGAAGAAAGACATGCCAAGTACCCTAGTTTATAACCCAAAATACAGTATCACATATTCTAATTTATCTTGTTAGCTTTACTTTCATAATACACAACTGAACAGCTACTAGCAATATTTGGCTATTCTTTCCACACACACAAAAAATTGGATTTCCCCTCATCAAAAGAGATGAAATCACTGATCAGGATACAGACAAAATTTTAGTACCCACCTAGTGATCTCATAAACTAATGTATCCAGGGCTCACTCACAAGTCACACCAGATTAATAAAAATATATTTACCAAGTATAAGGCAAAGGTACTAACAAGCACTGGTCTTAGATGTCAACATACAGACAAAGAATGCAACAAGTGAACAAGGAAAAGACCAAACCCCAGACATGTATCCCTGAAATTCATACTTCTCGTAAAGGCACGACATTGTGCTCCACAGTGCAGACTACATTACAAACTGACTCACTTTTTGGTAAGAATACATTATTTGCTAATGCTCAGGGCATTAATGTATTCGCTAATGCTCAGGTCATTATGCTTCTTCCTGCACATGTGCATCATCTATTACTCTATTCCACTCCAACAGAGTTTTATACTCCCACTCACAAATAAGAATTAACTTTGATTTTACTATTCAAACTTTGAATATTTTTTCACATGTGTATGTACAAATACTACAAGCTATGTTTCTATTATACTTCTGATGGTAATCCATTTTTTCCATTTTCTTATTTACCTAAACATTTTAAGATTTGTTGTCAGACACAGCTCAAATAGCAAATGTCAAGATTGAGAGTTATCCGTAAACTTAAGGCATGTAAAATCCAGCTAATCTTTTTTCCTAAGTATTGAGATTGCACAGATGAAGGGCGGGCCTAGTGCAAGCGATAGAGTCTTACCGCCTATGACCGGAAGGTCCCGGGTTCGAGTCGCGGTCTCCTCACATTGCACAGGCGAAGGTAAGGCTTGCCACTGACACCCTTCCCAGACCCCGCACAGAGCGGGAGCTCTCTGCACTGGGTACGCCCCTTTTTTTTTGAGATTGCACAGATCCTACAATACCAGAGGGTAGAGGGCAGAAGCTAAGCAAAAAAAATCCTGCACTGAAATCATTATCCTCTAAAAATTTGTTGTTCAATATGTTTTTATTTCTTTATATATGACATGCGCATGAAGTTTTTTTTGTTGCATAGATAGTTACTGTGATTTTCATGATTATTATATATATGTGTGTACATTTTGCTAGTAAATTCAAAAGGCATCTTCTGTTTATATTACGTAGCAAATAATCATATGACTAGTAATGCATTCTTCGTTTTGACTTTAAGCATTACATATATTTGTTTTTTCTTCTCGAACAAGCAGGAGAGCTGCGTATCATTGTATTAAATGAAGGAGAAAAGAGCCATACATAGACCAACACAACACACACACACACACACACACACACACACACACACACACACACACACACACTAGCTATCGAGCTAAGACTGAATCATCTTTTACAGATTGGTTACATATATTTGTTATTTACTACCATAGGTTGAAAACGATAGATTACTTCCTGATGTTCTTTTGAAGGTCTGGTAGGCATCTATTCCTATAGTTAAGTTTCAAGATCAGTTGCCACACAAAGTTAGTAATTTTAGATTCGCCTATAGCTAGGTTATTGGAGCCAAAGGTCCCTAATTGTGACTAGTATAGTAATGTATCAGCAGTACCGGTACGTCAAACAGTAAAAGATTGCTTAATCTGAAGGATCATGAAATAATGTATAGATTTGCAGGGAATAGAAGAGCAATAGAGACGTTGGGATTTGGAAAGATGGAATAGGAGGTTTAATTCCCTTGTTCCCCTTGACTCCCTCATGCAAGCCTATATTACAGGTTAACTAAGTCACTGCAAATTTTCAGATGCACCCTTGCTATATCCTATAATACATATCACCAAGCCACCAAGGAACTAGGCCAAAGGGGGCAACACCAGCTCCATGCAGATGAAATGATAAACTTGCCATGTTTCGCAAGCGCAAATTTGCAAAATCACACAATAATGGCAATGCTGTAGATAGAGACACCTGATTGCTTGTTCTGAGGCCAGTTTTGGGACAGGTCCCCTTTCAAGGACAGCAGACCCTTTTTTTTCATTTCGTCCTTCCGGATCCAGCCAAGAGCCCAAGACACACATACATGCATATAGCCATATACATGCATGGTCGCATGGACACCCCTTGCTGTGAGAGTGAGACTATCAGTATATATAGTCAGTGCTTCCATCAATCAATCCAAAACTAGTATACAGCTCAAACCCATCTACCACAGGCTATATAGGATTTGTCTTTGGTGAGCATCTTGGACTTGATATCCCTACCTCGCTCCATAAGGCAGCCATCTTTGGTGAGCATCTGTTTGATTTTTTTTGCTCCCAATTGATCTACTTCTGTCATATAAGACGAGAACCAAAAATATTTTTTTTTGCGAGACCAATATTGATGAGACACAACCCTCTCGCATGTCAACTTTTTTTTTCTTTCAACGACGAAAAAATTTCTTACCTTCTCTCTCTGCCTTTCATTCGCTTCCAAGTTCAACCAATGGAATAATGTCACTCAAATCATGTAAATATATGTGCGTTGTACTGTTCTTTGTTTCTATTTAGTGAGTTGTAAAGTGACTCAAACACTGATATGATCTGCAGGAAAATGGATGGGTGGTGTGTAGGGTTTTCAAGATTCAAGAAGAGCTATCATCAGAGAGGCCTCAATCCGGCTGAGATTGCGGCACTGGATGATGATGAGCTCCAGTCTTTCCCATTCCAGTCCATGGCACCCGGCCAACAGACCACAAGAACAACCCACACCTCATGCAAAATAACTTCCCTTCCTTCAACCCTACCATGCAGCTCCCACAGCTGATGAGCAGCAACCAGCCTGTGCCAACCCTCCTACCCACCCAGCTAGCCTGTAACAACCAGCTGATGACCATGAGCACACTCGAAGTTGAGTGCTCGAAGAACCTGATGAAGCTGAAATCGAACAGCAGTGATGGGATGCTCCATGGTGGTGGTGCTGGAGGTGGTGTTGACCGCTTTGCTGGCACGACTGATTGGTCGATCCTAGACAAGCTCCTCGCCTCCCACCAGAACCTCGACCAGCTCTTCCATGGCAAGATCACCGCAGCATCTGTCTCCTCAATGGTGACATACCAACAGCAGCTCATGGAACTCAATGGATAGTCATCCTTGCAGAGGCTTCCACTGCAGTACCTCAGTGGCGAGCCGGCTGACCTCCTCAGGTTCCCCAAGTAGTTGGATCGACCTCAAGTTTAGCTGCCTTGTTGAGCAGTGAACAGATAAGGTTTTTGGTTGGCTAGTTAGACTGCTTAATTCGGTATACTTCGTATGGAGTTTACTCTTCTAAATGTATATATGATGCAACTGTTTAGCCACGCAGGCATGGAATGCCATATAAACTGTGGTTGATTTGTCAAGAGGATATTTTGATGTTTCCATTTTGGCTTAGGGTTGCTCGTTAGGTGCTTTTGGAGAATAAAGGTGAAGAGATGGCCCGGTGAATCAAGAACTTCTATTTGCTTTTTTTTAATATACTATTTTTGTTTGAAACTTCCCCACTAATTGGTATTTTGGTTGTTGAACTAATAATAGGATCGGAGCATATATATCTGTTCATGGTCACCAATTAAAGAGCTACACATCCCATTTTTTTTCTTATTTTCTCATGTGTGATTTGATGTCTATAATATATATCCTCCATCATTTGGATCTACCATTAAACAGTTTAGAATAGCCTTACAAATTGAAATAAAACAACATAGGAACTTCTGGTGCTACTTTGCCATATTAGTTCTAACTTACATCAGTTCTTCTTCAATAGTCTAGAATGAGATTCCTTATTGGATATTGGTAACTATTAGAGTACAAACTACATTCTAATATCAAATGCAAAAAAAAACAAGCAGATGAAAGATGGAGCGTTAGGATATTAGCTATGCATCTGCTAAAAAAAGGCGTACCCAGTGCAGAGAGCTCCCGCTATGTGCGGGGTCTGGGGAAGGGTGCCAGTGGCAAGCCTTACCCTCGCCTATGCAATGCGAGGAGACTGCGACTCGAACCCGGGACCTTCCGGTCATAGGCGGTAAGACTCTACCGCTTGCACCAAGCCCGCCCTTCATAGGACTAAGCTATGCATCTGCTAGATAAACTTTTTTTCTCAAACACACAAGAAAATTGTGAATGCAAGATAATCTGAGGTTAGTTTTTATTACCAATTTCGCTTCAGTTTTATTTTTGCCACATCATTCTGTTTTGCAAGCTACACGGACAACCATGTAAAATCATCCATTAACAATATAATGAATTTTGATATGAAACTAGTTGTAGAGTGCGTAGTCAAGCTTAGTCTGTCAATACTAAGATATTGATTTATAAGGTATGGATCTCCCACCCCTTACTCAAAGCTCAAGATATATATAACACATGCCCCTGGCTTCCATTAAGGAAAGATATCAACCAATCCGTTTACTGAACATTTGCAGATTCATTACATAAGGTGGTCCTTTTATGACATAAGAAACTTTGTGCCTAGACCAACAAAGCCACTACATTATTTTCTTCCTTGCTTAAGTAGGAGTATCAACCAAATCTATATATCAATCCAAAGGGGAAGAAAACTACATTAATTACAAGAAGGCCTTACTGCGACCAAGATTAAGGTAAGAAACAAGCAGAAGTGGTGGCAGCAAAGAAGGCAGATGAGATGAGCAAATACGGCTACTAAGGAGAGCAGCAACTAACTTGCAATCAATATTTGTTTCTCGCACAGTAAATTCTAACTAGTCTGATCCAGTGGATTGAAAAGATTGGAGTATTCAGTATTGGATTGAAATGAGCTCTGGAACAAATAAACAAACAGTGTACCTGAGCATCATACATTACAATGGCCGCAAATACCACTGACATTCCGAATATGGAGTCTGCAAACCCCCTGCACACTAAATCAATAGTCAAGAAAAACAAAAGCATCGAGCTTAGGGTGAAAACACGCAGAAACAACTAAGTTCTGCAGCACAAATGTTCAAGAACTAACCTTTCTAGCCCAAGCGAAGTAGCAACTGCAACAACACTCTACATGATAGGAAAGTTTTGTTAGAACTCGGAACTGTTAGAAGGGTCAGTGCCAAAGGGAGTTGAAAGCTTTACATGAAAAGGTAAAAGGCTAAAACAGAATTACTTTACACTACAATAAAAAAAACAGCAGTTTCAGATAGGACCTTGCAGCACTTCTTGTTTGACAAACCACCACATTTGTTTCAATTCAATTTTATAGCCATTTGGGGTACGTTGTATTTCAGAACTCCTCAATGGTCAAATTCATTCTAGATACATAGCCATCCTCAATCATTCATTGTGCAAACTAATGATAACAGTTCACCACACAAGACAAACATTTTCTCTGTGACTAGGTTATCCACATCACAACTTAGCACAACAGCCCAAACATGTGGAAGAGGTATCCCCAAAGTTGGCGAGTAACGCAGAAACTGAAAAAGAGATGGTTTTGGTAAGGGACTGGGGTGGGTTATAAGATGTTTTCACCGCGGAGTGGGTAGAGGGCATCCCTCCAGAGCGGAAGACGGTCCTCAGGTCAAGGCCGGCGCCGGCGCCCCCATTCTTGCCCGACGTGAAAGGCTTGGACAGCTGCCCGATCGCGCTCGCCACCGTCGCTCAATCAAAACCTTCAGAGAAAACCAGACAAACATTCAGAAAAGAAATAGAAAAGGAAAAGGAAAAGGAAAAGAAGTACCCTATTGGCCGGGTACCAACCAGCAGGAGAGGGAAAAAGTCTACTTAATCCCCCACCTTTCATATTTGGTCTACTTCACCCCCCAACTATGAAACAGTCTGTTTTACCCCCATGAACTTTCTAAAACCATCTATTTTACCCCCTAGGCGGTTTTCAGCGACGGGTTGCTACAGTAACAGTGGTTTTGAATTTTTTATTTATTTATTTTCGGTGAATTTTTGAAAAAGCATAGTAAATCATAGAAAAATCATAAAATGAAAAATCTAATTTTATTGGACTCCACGTGAGTAGATCTACACAGTGAATATATAATACGGTATGCTTTAATACAAATTTTTTTTTAGATTTAGATTAATTGGAAAATCCAATTTTATCTGTAATTAATTAGAATTTATCTATAACTAAATTATATATAGTCCAATGAGTACGAAATTTTTACTATAGTTCAAGCATACAATAATTAGCGTACCATAAAAATTTTACCACAATTGGACCATATAAGCTACAGCTATGAATTATTCCAATTAATTACAGACAAAATTAGATTTTCCAATTAATCTAACGTTACAGTAAAAATTTTGTACTAAAGCATACCGTATTATATATTCACTATGTAGATCTACTCATGTGGAGTCCAACAAAATTAGATTTTTTTATGATTTACTATGATTTTTAAAAAATTCATCGAAAATAAATAAAAAAAAAAGAAAATTCAAAACCACTGCTAACGTAGCAAACCCGCTGTTACTAAAAAAAAAACGCCGCTGAAAACCGCCCAAAGAGTAAAATAGACGATTTTAGAAAGTTCGAGGGTAAAACTAGACAGTTTTATAATTAAGAGTAAAGTAGACCGAGTATGAAAGGTGACAGGAGAGCAACTAACCTTGTTGCGCGCGACCTCGGCGATCTCCCCGGGGCCGAGGTGGAGGGAGGCCGCCGGCGCGACGGCCCTGCGGCGCGGTCTGCATCCCGTAATAGGAGAGGCGCTCGTTCTCGTGGTGGAGGCGGACGGCGAGGACGTCGAGGGAGGAGGGCGGCGAGTCACCCAGGACGAGGACGGGATGTGAGGGGAAGAGAAGGCTTGGGCCATGGCCGTCGGGACGGCGTGGCGGGCTAGCCTGTCTGACCCAGTTGCCTGCCTGCTCTGGCTCTTCATTTTCTTGTCTTGTTTGCTGCTGTTTGTCACGGTCTACACAGACTAGGTGCAGAAGCCGAAGGGACTTGGAATCGGAATCAGACTCCAGCAAGCTGGCACCAACTAACGATGCATATCGGTAAACTATTACTGTGTTGGTTAAAAAATGTAACTAGTTTGAGGACCGCTTTGGATTGCAGCTATTTTCATCTTTTTTACGTTTCTCCGTAAAAATAAACTGATTTCAATAAAATTCAAGTATGATTATTATAAGATTCATACGTTCTAAAAACATCCTTAATTTTGTTCTTTTAACTCTAATTAAGTTTAGAAAATTATGGACCTTATGTACACTATTGTTGTATACCAAAGGCTTCTAATTTATTTATAAGTCTAAAAATTCAGTTGCCTGCCGCCCGCAACAAGCCCTTCCACATCATCAATAACGGTAATGCTCCTATCCCCGCCACACGCCGCGCGTTGTGGGTCTCTGCACCTCGCACCTTGCCCTTTATAAAAAAACCTCGCGTCTCGCACGGTCACACCGAACACGCCTCGGGACGTGTGCGCCGCGCACCTCGTGCCGTGCACCTCGTCCGCGCCTCACGCCCCGCTTGTGCCTCGTGCCACACGCCACCTGTAGGATCTCTGGTACGTCTAGAGGGGGATGAATATACCTGTAAAAATTTAACTTAAACCGAAATCAAATTCTTCCGCAGCACTATCGCTCTGTGAGCACGGCACTGCCGCACTTGCAGAAGATATTAGTTCACAGTTCAAAATCTACCCAACAAAGTTTAGATAGGGTAAATTTCTTAGCTTCCTACAGGGTAGTAGATCACAGATCGACTGCTGAAAGTGGTGGGCACACCACATATAAGTAGATAGGCCTTAATCCTAGAAATCACCTCAACAACAACAAGAACACAAGTGTAGCAACACAAGCACAAGATGACACAAGGAGTTATCCCGTGGTTCAGCTCGTCACCAAGGCTTGCCTAAGTTCACATTGTTGAGGTATACCACTAAGGTTTAGGGATTTGCAATCCTACCTTGTTCTCAAGTCACGAAAGTGAACTCTTGATATGTTGGATGATTTTACTTGTTGTAAGAGGTGGTTACAAACCTCCCGGAGCTGCCACATAAGTTGGTAAGCTCCGCGGACGATGCTCTAGCTAACTAGGAGCCAAGCACCAAGAGTAACAAACACAACCGCCGGCTAAAACGTGAACCAAGTGCTCTTTAGAGTTTAGGAATCAATGGAGTTGCTCTCTAATC